AAAATAATCAAAAGTATCAATGATACATTAAACCGAGCCGGAAAAATATCGCATCTTGAGTCCTGTCAGAGTCCGGGCTGGAACTCTGTAACGGATAGAGATCCGCATCGCTATGGCCCTCTCTATCTTCTTCTTTCTTCTCGAAATGAATAGAGAGGGGTCGACAATAGCCTTAGTCTAAAGCAGGAGACGCTGGATATTCTTGAACCCAATCCTCCCAACCCCCAACATCCCATACAAACCTCTCCACCTACACCAAACCACTACCTAGAGACCCCTCAGGACAGGGTACAGGGCTGACGACCCCATTTAATCCAAACCCGCGCTCACATTTGCTAGTGGACCATACCGCCCAGCAGGGCACAATATTTTCTGTTTTGTTGTCAAAGAAGCAGAAAAGCCCCAGAAAACCCTTATTCTCGGGTAGGCCGGTGAAGCGGCCCAATGCTTGCCATCCGTGGTATTCACCAGCGTATGACAACCAGGAAACGTCGAGAATAATTTCGATGTAAAAATAAGAACAGGGGTTTTATTGGTCAAAACATCGATCGACAAGCTGCACACGCAGTGCGCTAGATGTTAATTCTAGAAGTCCTGACCTTGTCATGGTTTTAAGTATTGTTTTGTATTATTTGTAGTTACAGGGTGGACTAGTCCCCCGGCCTGTGAATGTACAGCAAAGACCAGGAAAGATATTTGAAGAAAGTTTGAGGGAAAGTCTAGAACATTCTGTATATGCCTTTTACGAGACAACAAGCAAAAATGAAAGAACAAAAAGTTGAAGAACTTTTGCGCAAAAGGTTGGAGCTTCAAGAGACCAAACGACAACAAGAAAAACAAGACGAAGAGGTTATGCGATAAAAAGAAAAACAAGAAGAAAAGAAGCTATGATTGAGCTCACTTTTGAATCTACCACCTTCAGGTACAGAACATTAGTCGCCGATATAGAAGATGATTTTATTTTGGGAATGGATTTGATCGGCCAACATGGTTTCTCTTTCGATCCTTCTATGAACATCCTTAAATTTGGTAATGAAGAATTTGTCCTAACTACACAAAAAGAATCCCATCAAGTCGTTAAAATCCTGGCCACAACCCCAGTGAGGATTCCTGGAAGTACTGAGAAGATCATTTGCGGAAAATTAGAAAAAAACCCTGGATGCTGCGTTGGACTAACACATAATTTCATTGGAGACAAACCAGAAAAATTTCTCGTTGGAAAGGCTCTGGTAACAATGTCTAGTAAGAACAAATGGAGACATTATGATAAGAATTGCCAATGTTTCTCCTGAAACAGTAAAAATAAAGGAAGGAGATATTAGGTCTCTGTTTCTGCAGAAATCACAAACCAGTCAGAGTGAATTTCATTGGTTGAAACTAGTTTTCTGACTGTTTTCAGCCAATGAAATTTGCTCTGACTGGTTTGTGATTTCTGCAGAAACAGGAACTCTCGAACCAGTTAAGCAAGTATCGGAGATAGACTATAGACTTCAAGAAGACACAGATTTTATGGTACACACGGGCCTTATGAGGATATGCCATCTTGTAGTAGTAGTGTATCATCCTTGGCTCTCTTTAAGTATGCACAATCAACGATGATACACACTACTACTCAAAGCTGGGCAGAAAACCGTTAATCCGTTATCCGTTAATTAACGGAGTTAAAAAAATTGCTTAAATTTAACTTTTAAGTTAACCTACAAAATATTAACGGTTTTCTTAACTTCCGTTACATTGGACTTCCGTTAACTTTAGTCCGTTACGTTCGTAAATGACGTCATTTTGTTTGCTTGAATTGCGCGTCAAGGTCAATCGGGACAGTTCGCACAGGCGTAGAAAGATTTCAGTTCGCTACACTACGCAGTTTGGAACTGTTCTGGAATGATTCCAAACCCGATTCCGTAGAGATCGATGCGCAAGCCCTTAGTTCTGTTGTTAGGTAGGCTGTGAGCTGAGGTATATCGTTAGACTGTGGCGTTTTCTGCATTGTTCTATAAGCTCCTTTTTCTTGCAGAGGTGGATGGTAAATAAATCAGCTACCTAAATTGGAAATAGTGCGGCTTTTTAGATCTAGATACTTTTTGTTTTATTCACATTCACCTGTGTAGGAGTGTAAGTACAGTATTTTTAATATCCATTTGGAATCACACCATCTTTGTTCATCAATCATGAATCAGATGAAACAAAAAATTACCAACCAATCACAAATCACTAAACGACTGGTACTTTCCAAATAGGTATTAAAAATACTATACTTCATGTTGGAGAAGACACGCTTGCTGATTCGCGATAAATGAATAATTTTGGAAAAAAAGATTTGGAATGAATTGTGAAAATCTAAGATGCCTACTTTGTAGCGGTATTGAGGACGACTGCTTCTCCTTTCGCAAAGAGTACGTGCGGGACCTGTTAGGCTGTTCCATTAACGTTTTTTATAGGGGTGGTTGGTAAACAGGGATGTTCCAATGTGCACAATTGTGCATATTATGCATATAATCTGATTTCAATATGCACCATATGCACAACTGCACAATCTTCAAAAAATATGCACAATTTTCACAATCCAGCCAAAACAAAATTATTTTTCTTTAGCAAACCTTTGGCAACTCCGCCTCGCGCGTTGGTTGCGGTTACTGGTCATCTGTTATTTTGAAAGCTAAGCTCTAGACTTGTAACTGGGAAAAGAAAGCCAAATCAACCACATAATGGCGGCTTACTGCCATGTCATCATTGGTAAAAAATCGCTGTTCCAACAGGCATGAGAACCGTTCTAGAACGGTAATTTCCAGTCGATCAATTCATTTGTCAATTAGAATAAGAGTTCAAGTTATTGAAAAATAGGTGGGCAACTGGAAATTACTAGTTCTGGAACGGTTCTCGTTAGTTGGAACAGAGGGAAACATCGCGAGTCACTGTAATTTTGATTTTATTTCGTCGCCATCTATAGATATCAATTTTTCGACAACTTGTAGAACGTTCTACCCCTATTTTCTCTAAAACCTAAGACATGGTGCTGTTAATTGCGTCATTTTAACGTCATTTTTGAGCATATGCACAATCTCAAACGAATATGCACAATTTTTCATTAGTTAAATGCACACTTCAAAATTTTCTTGGAACAAGAACAAGCCTGTTGGTAAAGAGTTTTGTCAATTGTCAATAACTTTTCGATGATTAACTCTTAACGGATAACTTTAACTTGCGTTATATTCCCAAAAATTTAACGATTAACGATTATCGAAGTTAACTTTTCAAGTAGCGAATTAACGATTAACGAAGTTAACTTTTCGATTAACTGTGCCCACCTTTGCTACTACTACAGGATGGCCTATCCTCATAAGGCCTGTGTGTAACAAATCCCCCCCTACCCCCCTAAGCCAAACAACCAGTTGTGACGAAAGCAGCATGGCGTTTCTCGCCTTGACGTAAGCTGTTTAAACAGCTGACGTCTTAGTTATGACGTCGGCAATGGTTGAAAACAGTTGAAAACCAATATGGTGGCGATTACCAAAAACGAGGCCGATATAAGCACTCCTTAGAGTGTGTATTCTCCTTGTGCACAATCAGCCGATTTTGATGTTAGGCACCGTGACGTCACAAACAGAATCGCGACGTGCGCCATTGTTTTCATGACGCGTTTATAAATATGTGCTTAGATCTTTTTTGTGTTTTTCGAAAATACTGAATTGTTTTGAGACTGTATTGCAAATAAACTATAAAATAAACAATACAAAAAATTACATTTATTTTTGATGTGTGGTGTTGGTGTGACGTCAAACGAGCCAGGATGCAGATGTGCATATCTCTACACTTAGTAGGGTGTAAGAACCTTGGGTATAAAGTCAACTGGTTGGTCTTATTCATTGAGGTCTACACTCTACAGTGCTTGAGGTCTCATTGAAGCCTTAATAGCTAATAATCCAAATTGTCAGGAAAGCGTTTTCAAAAAAAAAAAAAATGCTCAAAGACTCCATTCCATTCGATCCGTTTTAGATTTAACGTTAAAGTGCGCTAAAACTCTTTGCCAACTCGTTGAGTTTCTGTATTGTTGAGCTGTATCGTTGAAAACGAACTCAATTAATTTCACTATCGGCGAGCCCAAAGAAAGCAAAAAAGGAAAAAAAAAAAACGAATTACTTGCGAAATTAAGTAAGAAACGGAAGTTATTTATTAGTTTATCTTTGGTGGGTTAATACGTTTTTCCGATGAAAGATAAATTTTCATGAGGATTTTTCCAATCGGCGATAAGAAATTTGTAATTTTATTTATAATTATCTCTTAGAGCCAGTTTCACAAACAATGGTAACCCAACGGTAACCACAAGACACTGGTAACCTACAATATATCTGTTTCATAATAGGTGGTTTAGCCAAAACCATTAGGTGCCATTAGTTCTTTTCACGTGGCTCCGATTTAACTAACCGGGTTACAAAACGGTTAGAGAAATGACATACCGTTTTCTAACCCGGTTACAAAGTGACGTGATGGATACCTACCACTCGAATTTGAGCGGTATGTTGCGGTTTGTTAAACCGTAGCCACGTGAAAAGGGTTATTGGTCAAGCTGCAAACTTCAGATTATTCAATGTGGTCAACCCGTAACCATGAGTTTGATAACCAGTGCAGAGCGCATGTTACCACCAACTGTGAAATTGGGTCTATAATATTTCAGCCGGAGTTTCCGTTTCCAATTTTTAAGAACTGTATAACTAGAATAAATCTTGACACCATGAAGATTGAAGTTTAAAAATAAAAGCAAAGCGATCGTAATCATTTTGCTCGGCACTTTTAATGACGTCACGTTATAGTGTATACAATCGATGATAGATGGCGCCTCCATAGAAACTCGAGTTAATTAATCTTTGTAGCTATTTATTTTCTCTTTTCAATAGCGGCAAGTAAAAAGAGATAAGCTAGTGTTGTGTTTATCGGATCTCTTTCTGATGACGTAATCATTTCCTTTGACACTTACAAACAAACATAACCTCACAAACCAACCCCTTTTATTTATCAACAGAAGATTATTTATTTTTCAAGTTTTCTAGTGCATTGTTTATAATAATTTACCAACAATCTAATTAAAATGCATGAAGCCTATCAAGTGCATTCTTTAATAAAATTAACACATCAAGTTGAATCGATTGCTGCTTATGGTAAGTTAATAAAAAAAAAGTATTGCAAAAAAAAATGTATAATTATCCTAGGAGATATTTTGTTGGTGGGTACTAGACAAGGACACTTGTTTATGTACAGTCTGGAGAAAAAGGAGCCAAAATGCGAACTAACGTTGATGAGATACGATAAATATTTTAGCAAAAAACCTATACAGCAGCTAGAGGTCATTCCCGAGCAAGATTTGCTGCTCAGCTTGACTGATAACGTTGTACAGCTTCACGATATCAACGCTATAAGCTTCAACACTTTGGATACTGTGCAGAAAAGCAAGGGAGCTACTTTTTTTGCTCTCAACACAGAAGTAATAATAAGTTTTATAATAATCCAAAGTGGTTAAATTAAATGTTACTCACTTTTCTAGAAAATAATCTCTACAACAGGTGATACGCATTATCTAATAAGACTAGCAGTGGCAGTCAAAAGAAAAATTCAACTATACTATTTGAAAAACAATGAATTTCATACATTGGCCGATGATATTTCCCTCACTGATATTCCCAAATCGATGGTTTGGTGTCAAAATGTTATTTGTTTAGGATTTAGGGATGAATATGCTTTACTCAAGGTAGCTAAGAATGATACTTATTTTTCCTTGTTGCCAGGATTCAGCAATAAAATTCTCACAGGCAACCAATTTATTACTGGTGTTGATTATTTTAAAATGCCAAATCACAGTGTATCTTCTTTTGAATGGTTTAATCTTTTGGAATATGTACAAAAAACATTTCTACAAGGTTATTTCACCACTAATTCGGCAATATACTGTAAACACTACCCAAACAACATGATTTTCCCACCAAAGAATCTAAACAGCGGTGTACCACAAGCTTGAGTCTTGGACGACTTCTTGCTTTTGTCAACAGGGAATCTTCGTGGAGTCAAGTGAAAGTTTAGTAAATGCAAAAAGAGGTTTAATGAAATATAACGTGTTGACCTCGGTGTTGACAAAAAATATGAAAGCTATAAACTATATCTTGACATCATGTAGGTCTAACATCATTAAGTACTGGTATTTTAAATATATTTCAACAACCCCTCCATTTGAAATAACCTAAACCTTGATTCTCCGCATACAAATCAGTTTCAATATCAATAGCTTTAGTCAGAGAATCTGCTATTTGCTTCTCGTATCTCATTTCTAATAATTTTTCATCTATCTTCTCTTTGAGAAAATGATGTCTTACATCTATGATCTATGTGTTTGGTTCTTGCATGGTAGGCCCCATTTTTTGCTAAATGTATGGCTCCTTGATTGTCAATATTTAAAACTGTTGCAGTTGTACATTGCCCAAATTCTTCACTTAAATCTTCTCATAGCCATAAAGCCTCTTGCGCCGCCATATACTCACTTTCTGTTATCAAACGAGCAACTGTGACTTGTCTCTTAGTTGCCCATGAAATAGCTGTACCATTTTTAAGGCAAACATATCCAGTCACTGATCTACGATGTTCTATGTTCCTGGCCCAATCAGCATCTGCATAGCCAAAAATTTCACTTTTCTTCTTGTCAGTACCATCAAATTCTATTCTGTAATTCATGGTACCCTTTAAATATCTGAGGATATGTTTTGTTGCAGTCCAGTGAATATGTCCTGGATTTTGTGTAAATCGACTGACATTATTACAATGTAGGGTATATCAGGCTTTGATACTTGTGCTGCAAATAGTAGACTTCCTATGAGTTCTTGGTGTGGTATGTTGCATATTTTCTCAATACATACTTTTGGATAATTTTTCAGCAAGCAAAACTGGAGTATCTACTGGATTACACTCAAACATGTTGTATTTCTTCAGCATATTTTATATGTACCTATAACTTTTGATCTAACCATATCTTTTTATTCTTTCTATCCCATGTAATCTGCATGCCTAGTATAAATCTGGCATCTCCAAAATCCTTCATTTTAAACTGTGATATGAACTGATGTTTTAGACTGTTTTTAGCGAGGTTTTTAGCTGTTCAGTCATTGGACAGTAAGATAATATCATCTACATAGGTAGCTACAATTAGTATCAATGACTCAATAAACTTAAAATACATACATGCATGAATCAGTTTTGGACTGAGTCAAATCACATTTCTTAAGACATTCATCTAATTTCAAATTCCATGTCTGTTTAAAACCATATATTGATTTTCTGAGCTTGTAAATCTGGCTTTGTTCTGAAAAATTATCTGGCTGTATCATATAAATCTCTTCAGTAAGATCACCCTGCAAAAAAAGCCGTTACAGCATCTAATTGATCGACTTCCAAATCAAATTCTGCAGCTATAGCAAGTAAATATCTTATAGATGTCTACCTTACAACTGGGAAATAGGTCTCTTCATCATAATCAATGCCTTTCTTTTGACTGCAGCCTTAAATTACTAGTATTGCCTTATATCTTACAGTTGCACCATCTGAATCCTTTTTTTTTGCTTTAAATACCTATTTGCATTTCAAAGGTTTTTTGTCATCTGTGTAGTCTACTAGTTCCCATGTTTTGTTTTCCATGAGCCCTGAATATTCTTCATTCATATCTTCACACCATTTGTCACAATCAGGTCTACTTAGAACTTCTTCGACAGTCCCAGGATCAGAAAAATCAATCATAGTAGCAAAACTAACTTCATAATCGTCAAGAGTTTCAGGTAATTGTCTGACTCTTTCAGATTTTCTTAATCCTTGAGCTGGAACCTCTCCATTCTGATGCGGACCAAGATCTGGGTCTAAATCTACATCTGGATAATTTGCTTCATAGGTTTCTGGGTCACTTTCATGCTGTTCTTCAGCATCAGACTGTGATGTAGAAAATGACTCGTGCTGAAAAGATAGGTAACCATGATCAACATCATTGATCTCTTAAGCTTAGAAAAAAAATTTAAAAAAAAATGTTTTTCTTGTTTATTTCTAGTTTTATCAAGCAATAATGCACCCTTTTCTTTCTGAGGTGGAAGGGTTGTATAATCTGTACGCCTTACTTTCTGTTGGTACTGTATCCTATCAATATACTGGGTATTGTTTTGCAGTCAAGTTTTTTACAAGTTTCTTTAGGAATATGTGCATGAACTTTGCTCCCAAAAATGCGTAGTCCCTCCAATTTTGGTTTTATGCCAATCCAGGCTTCTTCTGGTGTTTTTCCTTTGAGGCATCTTGTAGGTGACCGGTACTTACTGATATATTCACCTCCATTGTCTGCGAACCTGCTAAACTGGTGACTTCAATAGGCCCACAAAGGTCCGAATGCACTAATTCCAAAACTTCTTTAGGTAGTATGCGATTCACTGTCACACATATTTCACATGTTCTCCGCCTGAATGAACCTGTAAAATCTATTCCAAATCCCATACAATTTTTTAGTTTATTTAAATTATTGAAGGGATCCCACACAAACCTTATAGAAAATGGTTTTCTGTCAAATTGGCTGAACTATTGAAATTGGGTAGATTTCGATATTCTGATTAAAAATTATTATTCCGCGAAAATGACTTCATGTACAATTTTTGAGTAAATGGGCTTAAACGATGGCATTGGAAACGCATGCAGCTTTGAGAGGTAGGTAGGTGCCACTGGCGTAGCCAGTGGGGGGGCAAGGGGGCATTTGCCCCCCCCCAGGACCCTTAAATTTTATGAATATTTCTTCAAAATTAAGATAAACAGTTCCAAAAATAGCGTAAACAAACCTGAAAAGGGGGCGTGGCACCCAAAAATTTCGCGCCTGTGGCGCTTTGCCTCCGGCAGCGGTCTCAAGAGACGCTTCCTGCAAATTTGCCCCCCCCAAGACAAAATCCTGGCTACGCCACTGGTAGGTGCTATTGCCTAAAGCATTTCCTGCACTAGAGTTTCCAGTATTTCTGTGTTTATTTGAAAATCTGTTGCTGTACATAGCAATTTCACTATTTGATGAGTACATCCTGTAGTAATTTAGTTTTTATTGAGTCTCCACTTACTGGTACTCCAGAACTTTCTATACCCATTATCATAGGTTCATATTTAGTGGGTAATCTGGCTAAAAGGATGGTACCAACCCATTTATCGCTTACAGTAAGGCCAATACTAGAAAGTTTTGTGTGCTGTGCTAACAATCTTTGTCAAATCTGTCTCGGTTCCTGTAACACAGTCCCACAGCTCTTCATGATTCAGATAAGTTTTCACAGCGAATTTCCAGTTATCGAAATTTTTGACGCCCTTGCAACTTTTCAATGGGTGGTAAAGCGGTCGACATTCTGACTGGTTGAAAATCCAATGAAGGCAACAACTTTGAAAAAATCCTATTCAATACACAACTAGTTTCTGGGCTCCATAACCTGTCGGCAGGGAATCTTCGTGGAGTTGAGTAAAAGTTTAATGAACGCAAAAAGAGTTTTGTTAAAATATAACGTGATGCTAGAAAATATGAAAGCTAAAAACTATATCTTGATATAGCATGTAGGTACTTCTAACGTCATTACTGGTCGCAGATTCGAATAAATCGTATAATCGTAAGTATTTCTGGAGTATTTGTATTTTTTGTAGTAGGTACTTGTTTTGGGAACTAAAAGGTTTCTTAGTGGAGCACTGTACCACTTCGGAAACCTATTATCTGCAACGGCTGGTTTAGGCACAAATCTATCACAAACAGAAAATGAAATGCGATAGAAATTTTCCACAATTTCATCAAGGTTCGAAGGTTCATTGATGAAAGACCAATCCACATCGGAAAAGTGGGAGCCGAAAGCATTTCAGTCAGCTATACATTGTGGACGACGAAAAACTTCCCACCCGGGTTCTCTCAGGTATCAGGTACCTAATACATACTAACACATATAACACTTGAGTGAGGAATCACCTGAATGGGAAGTTTTTTGTGCCCCACCCCACCATGAATAAGTTTCGATGTTGTCAATAAGTATATAGTCCAAAATCCTGCCCAAATAATTTGTTGTAACTCCAAGTGATACATTGACTCCATGAAGGTTTCTTTAGCTAAGGTTCTTGATTGTCCTGGGGTCAGGAAGCATTCCTCAAGACACCATTTCATATGGGGAACGTTGAAAGTCTCCAACTACTAAAAACGCTGCTTTGTGATACCTGTTATGAAGTTCTTCAACTTTGTCCATGAATTCCTGGGTATTTTTCGACAACATCATATTCATGGAAAGCAATGTGCATCCAAACATCTTCGAAGAGAGCAAGTGCAGTGCAGGTGAATCAATAGCGGTTACATTGAGATCTGAAGATACAACAACCAAAGAACTCACACCCCATCACGCCGAAGATTAAGCAAACTTATTGTAGTCTGTCATAACGAACCACTGTGTAGCCGTTCCGAAAATATTCTTCGCTGAAATGATTTGAAGACAGCAAAGTTTCTGTAAGCGAAATGACGTCATAGTTGCAAGCCTCATAACTGCGTGAGAATTTCCCAGATTACGTCCTCAAACCCCTAATAGTAAAATAATGTGAGGTCTTTGATGATATAAAGATAAGTTGGAAAAACATGGTACATCCTGTATAGTTGATTTACTCCTCTAGCCCATCTGATAGGGAAGATAAATAATTGTAAAAAAAAAAATAGTTTTTACAATCTCTCTTATCAAAAGGGCTAGAGGGTTGGGAAGAGGTACATCTGAAGTCTTTTTAATAACTCTCCAAAAGAAGATACACTTTGATTTTGCATTTCAAAATAATAATCACCAGTAATAAACCTGTGAAAATTTTGTTACTGGCTCCTTGTTGCCACAACAAGAAGCTCACTTCACAGATATACAAAAATTGTAGTTAGAAAATGGCAAACAAACAGATCTGTTCCCTACAAGCAGTGCCAAATCAGCCGATCCATGTATTCTACTGATATCCGAGTCACATTTTGCTTTGTGCAGAGAAAATCAAACTGTTCTAGTAAACACTACCGGACAAACTGAACAAAACGCTGCACTCAAATGGACAGAACCTCCTATTTATTTAGCGCATGATGCTCCTTACACTCTGGGTGTATTAACTGATTGTATTGAAGTAATACAACAACATGCCTCACCTAAATTAAGTTTGATTAAAAATAATTTCAGGTGTGTTCTTTGGAGCCCAGTATGTCAGTGCAAACTTTACCTGACATGTCTAAAGTAAGGTTTCTAGTTAAAGCCAGTCCTGGTATACTATTTGCAGCTTCGCTATCGCAAATTTGGTGCCTCAAGGCAGTGGATATTGCCAAACAACGCGAAGTGCTTGTCAATGCCAAAGAATTTCAACTTGCTTTGAAATTAATTGTAAGTCCTGTGTGTGTTAACTATTTTTTGTGTGTTAAAGTGTTTGTTTTAAAGCAAATATCTGATGAATGTGATCAAGAAAAACAAGCGAAAATCCATCAAATTCAAACCTTATTCGCTTATGATTTGTTTGCTAAAAAACAATTCGCAGAAAGTATGAGGGAGTTTTTGAAATTAGAAACTGATCCGTATGATGTCATCAGGTTATATCCGGATATGCTGCCGCAAGTGCAGCAAGAAGAGTTTTTATCAAGCAACAAGGATTTAACTGATAAAGAAGTGCAAGAGAGTATAGTGGCACTTAGTGATTATTTGACTTCTATGAGGAATCATGTGAGGGAAAATAAGGTGAGATTTTTTTGGATTTGAGTGTAAAGCTCAAGCATTTCTTTCTATGTTGTAGATTTCCTCTGGTCCAGGTGGTAATTTGAACAAAAACAGCAAATCAGCTAATCAATTATTGCAAATCATCGATACAACTTTGGTGAAATGTTATTTGCAAACAAAAGACGCTATGGTAGCACCCATATTACGTCAAAATTATTGCCATTTAGTGGAAACTGAGAAAATTTTAAAGAAAATGAACAAATATAATGATTTGATTATTTTGTATCAGACTAAAGGTAAAATAATGGTCAATATATTTTTGAGTGCAATATTTTTTTTCACATAGGTCAGCATAGGAAAGCTCTAGAATTGCTGCAAACTGAAAAGAGCCTGGAAGAAGACAGCATCAAGAAAACAATAAAATATTTACAAAAATTGGGCTCTGAAAATATGGGTCTCGTTTTAGAGTTTTCTGAATGGGTTTTGAACAAGGAACCAGAAAAAGGATTAAAGGTGAAAAATTACCCTAAAGAAAATTATTTTTTTGAATATTTATTTAAATTAGATATTCACTGAAGACTTGGTTGAAGTGGAAAATCTCCCTCGTCCACGTATCCTAGACACTTTACTCAAAGACCATCAAAATCTAGCAATCCCCTACTTGGAACACATAATCCATAACTGGAAAGACCAAAATCCTTTTTTCCACAATGCCTTGATTCATCAATACCGTGAAAAAATTCTTAAGGATGGTCCTGCAAACTCTGAGCATACCAGAAAAAAGTTACTAACATTCCTGGAAAAAAGCACTTTGTACACAGCTGAAAATATTTTAAAAGATTTCCCTACTGGCAGCTTACTAGAAGAAAGAGCTTTGATTTTGGGCCGTTTGGGAAAACACGATCAAGCGATTGCTCTATATGTCCGAGCTCTAGGTGATGTGAAAAAGGCTGAAAATTATTGCAGCCAAATGTACGACACAGGCAACAAAAACGTTTATGTATCTCTCATAAGCCTAGTTCTGTTACCCGACAGCTATCCTTTAACTCTACCGGGAGTTACTTTATCCCCAAAAACCGCTCAGCCCGATTTAGAACTAGCTTTAAGGCTTCTAGAGGATAATGCCTCGAAAATAAACCCTGTGGAAATGCTGGCGGCACTCCCAGACGAACTACCAGTGTCTAGGATTCACAAATTTTTGTCCGTGGCTCTTCAGAAAGTTCTACAAGAGAGACGAAAGATGCAACTGCTGAAAGGCCTGCTGTACGCTGAACATTTGCAATGCCAAGAAATCAAATTGGCTTTGCAAAGGCAACATGTGGTTATTACCGAGTTGAATGTTTGTCCTGTGTGTAAAAAACGATTTTCAAATCAAGCGTAAGAGTTTTACTTTGTGTTGGTGATTTTTTTATTTTAATCAATTCAATTTTTAGGGCTCTTATTAGATATCCTAATGGAGACGTAGTGCATTATGCTTGTCACAAGGAAAATAATAATTAGGAATTATGTATTATACTATAGCAGCTTTATTTAACTATTGCAATAAAGGATTTTTTTTTTTTAACTTGAATATTTATATTTTGTTTTGTGGCTTTTTAGGTTTTATAATCTGATTTTAATGAATATACAATTTAGTTATCAACTAATTCTTATTATTATTAGCTGTGACCAATTTAGTCAAAATGTATGAAGCTTATCAAATAAGGTCCAAAATAAAAGCAACAAATCCCGAAACTAATCCTATCGAATGTGTTGCTGCTCATGGTAAGATGAAATTGATGTTTTATTTTTATGCGTATTTTTCTTGTAGGAGATACCCTATTTGTTGGAACAAGACTAGGACGCGTGCTTCGGTATAATTTTGAGAAAAATGAATCGGATCACGAGCTGAATCTAGTGAAATCGTATAATTTGTCCAATAGAAAACCTGTTCGGCAATTGGAAATTGTTCCAGAACAACAGTTATTGCTAAGTTTAATAGGCAAGAATACTTTAGCTTTGCTTGGCTGTTTTATTGCGTTTGAAATTCGAATTTAAATTAGGGTGTCTCATAAGTTTTTGGAGTATTGTTGTTAAATATAAGCAACTGCTCTGAGATAATTATATCAAAACTTCCCCATATATTACTATCTAGTTGATATTGGCTGAGGAGGAAACCTATAGCCATTTTTGTACTGTTAAATGTTTGTTTTGGTCATAAACGTTTTCGTTTAAGCACTTTGGGAACTATCAAGTTTTGTTTTGAATATTGACACTGATGTAGCTTCAACTGTTTCAGCTCCAGAGGGCAAAAACTCTGGTAGAAAGTTCTACCTGCACACTACGGACTAATTTTTTTTTTTTAAGTTTGAGTCAGTTTGAGACTGTGACCCTGGAGTCTCAGGTCTGTGTTCAAGGCGTAGAGGTGTCTAACTATTTGAATGTTATTGTGGAGTGTTTAGTAAGTGAAGATAAGATCTCCTCTTGTTTTTCTATTTTGGAAGCTCAGCAGTTTTTGTTTTTCTAGTCTTTTCTCATATGTGAATCTTCTTCTATCAAGTTGCAATTGTGTTACTTTTTTCTGAACAGCTTTAAGGCTATTGCGATCTCTGGGTGCCAGACCTGACCTGCATATCCTAGGATTGGCCTGCAGTATATGTTGGACAGTTTTGTAAACGCTTTTTTGGGGGTGTTTGGGAAGACCTTCTTTAGGAGGAATAACTTGCTGTTGGTTTTTTTGCATATTGTTGTTACATGTGCTGATCAAGTTAAGTCTTTGGTGTTGCTGAACACTGACCAGTACTGACCCATTGATAGTGTATTCATTTTCTTGGTTATTTTTCCCAAGTTGAGTACCACACATTTTTTCACATTAAGGGATAGTTGACAGTCCTCATACCACTTCTCATTTTAGTTTAAATCATTCTGGAGCGAGTCAGAATTGTTGGCGAGACCATAAGCTTTTATGTCGTTTGCGAACGCTGCATATGTGGATATTATTAGGTTGAGAAGATTTATAGTGTAAGTTACGAACAACAGAGTCAGAGATGCAAGTAACGAGCCTTGGGGTACGCCACTTTGTACTGAATAGAGTTCAAAGTATGAGTTGCCGACTCTGACTTTCGAGTTTCGACTGCCTCGTTGTAAGATAGTCTTTGGTCTAAAGCAGTAAATCCCCTCTGACACCAAAATAATCCAGTTTTAGCAGGAGTCACTCACTGGCTAGGGAGTCAAATGCTTTGGCAAAATCCAAGTATATGACATCAATGGGAGTTTTTTGATCTAATGATATTGTCCAGTTGTTAAGAAAGTCAACAAGAGAAATTGTGGTTGCTTACAATGTGTAGCAGGTGAGTAATTTAATGATTACATAAAAAAATAATAATGATTAGAGCATATATGGGATAACGCCATATTACAAACTTTATATATTTTCCAAACTAACTAGCTAACCAACATCTATGTTTTGGAGACTGTCCAGATGGGATTTTACCTGCTTTTTAAAAGATTCCATGCTAGTGATATCTTTTAGTTCTCGAGGAAGGTTATTGAATTTTTGCAATCCCTCATTGAACAAAGAATTTTCGGAGCGCACCGTAGGTGCCTGTTCTAAAGGTATGAAAATCATTTCGAGCACTTGTTGGGTAGGAGTGCATATAGCGGTTACGTGATTCTATCAGATAAATATGCCGATGCAATCTTATTTCGAGACGGGGTATGACAAGAAATTTTTCACAGACAACCAAGCCAGTGCTGACATGATTTCCTTCATTGACATAGTTTTTCTACAACATAGGATTATACGTAAGTGAGGCAGAACCATACAGTTATACAAAATTGATTCTGCGCACTGGATTAAGTAGGGAGAACACCTGCCTATGTGCCTATGTAACTTAATTTAAAAGATATGGTCTTGACAACATAACTAGCGTTATCTTCAAAATTTAACCCTCTATCATCTATTACAGTACGCCCAAATATTTTATTTTATTTTCCATCTCATTTCCAACCCTAATTTTATAATTTTTTGAATTAAATTCACGATAATCTTGTCCACACCACACAGTCCTTTTCCTTACTTGAGAAGTTCAGAAGTGTATCATCAGCAAATAGGTGCAGTGTACATAGCCCAGCTGCCTCAGCTATATGATTTATGTAAATCAAAAATAACCAAGCACATACCCTGAGGCACACCCAGATCATTAGCCACATGATAAGACACTACACCATTAACCTTTACTCTGTCTTCTAATCCCCAGATAGCTACTCAACCAATCAAAAGCCCTTCCCTTAATCCCAATAGCCCTCAATTTCTGCAATAAACGCACCCTATCTACGGTTTCAAATGCCCGCCTAAGGTCCAAGAACACACAGCACACGTAACCAGTTCATCATCATTATTTCCCCTAAAATCATCAAGCACACACTGTAATGGGAACGAAATACAGACTGTACCTAGTGCAGCAGAGGTTATTGGTTTCGATAAATTCCAGTAGCTCTGCATACACGACCTTCTTGAAAACCTCCTCAACAATGCTCAACATATTATTTCTGATGCCCTGTTAGAGTCGCTGGGCGCTGGGACTACCGTAGATACCTTTAGATCCTTTGGCACCTCGCCTATTTCGAGTGAGTACTTTATAGAGTTTAGAAGAGGACTGGACAATTTTTCATCAAAGCCACATTCAACTCATCTGGACTACTCTTATTCTCCAGGGAAAATACAATCCCATGTAGGTCCTCTATGGAGACTAGTGAAAAATTCTCCAGGGTTGTCCCGCCGAGATCCGAACCAACATTATTCAAAATTTGATATTGCGGTACCAATTTCATTAGTTAGGTAGGTAGGTATAGTATTTCCAAAGTCAATTGGAACAAGATCATTACCAGTCACTACATTTAGTGACTACAGAAATTTTAATCAAGAATAACAAGGACTTACCAAACAACCATCCCAGGAGAGATCAGCACAACCAGAAACTTCAATTAAAATTTATCTGAACATCGATATCCAGAAATTATTGAAAGCCTATATACTATATTGACTAATACATTGGAATGTGAATAAAGCAAAAGTTCATGAACCTTTTTTTAAGTGCTTTCAACAATTAACATTCCAAAGGAGCCGAAAAATTTCTAATTTCTAAAAGGATCAATAAATCATGCACGAGCCTATATGATGATACCCACTTAACAAACTACTTAGCGACACCCTTGATAATTAATTAAAAGGGGACCAAATACACTAATTGATCGGATGATTCAACTACGAAAAATCAAGGTCAGAAAAAATTAATAAATTCAAGACAATGGAGGGACCAATGATATAAAAAGGCAACTTTGGCAGGAGAAAATAGAAAATTAGAGTGTTTGAGAAAAGAGTGTTCGAGAAAGAGCGAGTAAACCGGCAGAACTACGGCGTGAAAGACCAGTGTCGGTAGAGTAATCAAGAAACAAGTAGTAATCGAGAATCGAGAGACATGTGTCCAGAAAGTCAAAACTATGGCGTGAAAGAGTTGTCGAATTAACCGAGAGAAGAAGCACGACATGAAATAACATCGCGAAAATATTCGAGTTTTTTATGAATTGTTCATAATTAAACTAAATTCCTTCGACCAATAAGATTTCCATGTAATTAGGTGTGGCCAGCAGTAAATATATTATTGTTAAATGTAAGTAGAGTTTTTTATGTTCAGCCAGAAATTGTGAAGGCAAGAGTCGAATAAACTGGAAATTAAAATTTTACTTGGAATCATACATATAAATTTTCCTTAACAGTTAATTGATGCTTATTAGAGATTGAATAAATTTATTGTAAGATTATTTATTACCGACGCCTGTTATTCAAATAACAAGCATTATTTATTTTATTTTCTACTTAACTATTATAGATCCATAATACCTAGGAAACGAAATACGTTAATATAACTATAACAACCCGAGGGCATTATAATCCAAAACGCCCGCTTTTTGCGGTCGTTATGATCTATAACGCCCGCTACTTCCTCCCTGAGGTGTTTTTGTTGTTGTTGTTTTATTAATTTGCACATTACCCTAGGTAATTTATTTTGTTTCTAGGTACAGGTCACAGGTACAGACACATGTCAAAATACAAAACAATATTCTGTCACACAAGTTGAACTAATTTTGTTTGATACTAAATTGATGAAAGAACATCGTGTTGTGTAGAAAATAAAGCATTGTATGCACCACAGGGATTATTAGATTATATTGCCCTTGAGGCAAAATATCCCTCGGGTCACAGACCCGAGGGCTAGTTTCGCCTTCGGGCATTATAATCTACATAATCCCCTTGGTACATAAATAGCTATTAATAAAATAAACTTTATTTTAATTTACCACAATATTTCTGTGTTTTACTCTCCACCCGCAAATAGGACCCACTTTAAACTGTCTCCACTCAGAAACTAAAGTCACCGCTCGCCAATTTAACATCTTGCCAAGTTTCTGAATTTGGGGTCTCACAGTAACACTGGTGGCTGAATGGTCACTGAACATTTTCATAAGAAATGCACTGCCACCACTTACAATTTATTTTTACCTTGTTTCGATTGACTTTGGAAATACTATACCTATTTCCACAAAATATCTATTCAAACAGTCGCGTATTTCATCTTTATTTTTTACTACAAAATTTTAATTCTTTTCAATTTCTAGCACTGACTTACTTTCCTTGTTATTTTTATTTAGTATAATCTTCACCACTTGCCAAAGCTTTACAGAATTGTCTCTTATGTTCATTAATTTTTGACTCAAAATATTTTCGTTTTTCTTCCCTCATTGTCTTGACAATATAATTCCTTTTTGTTCTGTATTCCTCTCTATTCTCGTCTTTTCTTTCCCTCTTCCATTCTTTATAATCTTCATCCCTCATTTACATTTTGATTGTGCCAATCTTTATATCTAGGGCGTATTATCATACACCTCTTAGGAGAAGCTCCATTATATGCCTTAACATGCTTTGATACATTATTCATACTTGCTCTCTCATAACTTCACTCATACAGTGCCTACCTTCTTTGACTTTCAGGATCTCATTCTGGTAGATCTGATTATCCTGTTCCAGTAATCATTTCTCTATTTGCTTCCATTAGTTGTTGTAGTCTCACTCTGAATCCATTACATTCCGCCAAACAAGATGTAATCTGACCTTCCAATTTCCTTTTCTCCTCTTGCAGATCATCCATTCCACGTTTCAGTTTTTCAATTATTATACCCTGTTTTTTGATCTCCTGCCATTCTTTCTCTTCCACCAACAGATCCTTCTCCTTGTTCTTTAAGATTAGAATTTCAGTGTTTAACACACTGTTCCGGTCCTGCCAATTCTTTAATTTGTTATTGAATTCTTCCTCAGCATCATATAGGTAGTGCACTTTCAAATGAAACGCTTTTACGCTGTCAATATAACGACCAGAGTTTCATTCTTTTCCCAGGTTTTAAATTTTCTCCTTATACAGCTTTTTCCTCTTCTCTCTCTCATTAAACATTGATTGGCAACATGCAGAACAGAAAATTCTGTATTCATTTACTTTAACGACCTCAGACTGCCGAGCCATGCAGTTTTGATGTAGTATTGCATAGCATGTGTTATACAACAATAATTTGAAACATTATTGGCCTATAGTTTCCAGCATCTAGTTTATCACATGTTTGTATATCCGTGTGACTGATCCGTCCAGAACTGGAGAGCTGGCAATCTTCAGAGCTTTCATATATTGGGCTGTGATTTGGATAGTTGTGATTTCATTTGGTACCCTGTCGAAGTTTATTTGGAGATCTTCAGGAATTAATGCCTCCGTCGTGAATACTTAAGAAAATTCGTTTGTCAAAATGGTGGCATTCTCAATATTATCTGTGCACATTCCCCCATTTGGAGTTTTTTAAAATAGGAATTCCTACTTTGGTGTTTATAGTTGTGATCTAATGTACCTGCTTACTTGTTTAGCTTTTTGAGGTTCTCAAAGTTTGTTAGGTTGTCCAGTTATGTTAGAGTGTTGAAGAAGGTGATATGTTCCCTAGTCAGTGGAATTGGAAGCGTAAGTACCATTTCTATAGGGTTTTTTTTGTCCTACAGTTTCGGATGTGGTTGTTAGTTATCCATGGTTTTAGGTTATTCAGTCTTTTGGTTCTGTATTCGGTGGTGTTATCTTAATATTGGTTCTAGTTCTGAGTAAAAGCTGGCCCATATGTGATCTATATTGTCATCAGAGAGGAATCCTTCCCATAGTTGATTTCCGATATATGGTAATTTATATCTTCATAATTTATGTGTTTCACTCTATGTATGTATGTATATGTTTGAAGCTGTGTTAAGAAGTCCTGCTTGCAGTGTAAGTTTCAATAGTTCATGGTCTGATTTGTGATAAGTGCTCATTATTGGTGATAAGGTGTGTGTCATTAAGTTTGACCAGATGCAAAGCTGATGGGGTTTGACCCTACCTGTAACGGATGATCTGGTGACAGTCTGTGTAGACCGAAGTTTCTTCAAGTTTCCTTAATTACTATATTGATTACTGAACTAATAGTAACTAGTTTTGCCGCTTTCATATTTATTTAAACAGTGCAGACTTATGCGACACCTCAAAGATTGTTTTGTAAATCAAATATGTCACTAAAAACCACCAAAATATATTTTCAAATTATTCTAGACACTATTGTGAAATTGCATGACATAAATGGAAACTTAAAAAGTATCCAGACACTGCAAAGGACTAGAGGCGCTACATTTTTCGCTCTTCATACCGAGGTAAAATCCACATGCCTTATCCCCAATTGAAATTACAAAATAATTGCATTTCCAGAAAATTACCTCAACCACAGGAGACATTCACTATCTTATCCGTTTAGCAGTAGTGGTACGGAGAAAAATCCAGCTGTATTATTTGAAAAACAATCGTCTACAATCTCTATGCGAAGATGTTACCCTTACGGACACCCCCAAAGCCATTTCCTTGTGCCAAAACGTAATCTGCCTTGTCTATCGTGACAAATACACTTCACTTACTCTAGGAGATGGCAAAGAAACCGACCTAATTCCTACAAGCAATACAAACGAACCTTGCCTATTAGCAGTCTCAGATTCTCACTTTCTTTTGAGCAGAGACGAGCAAACAATTTTGGTAAAAACTTCAGGAGAAACCAACAGATTGAAATGGCCAGATTCACCAATTTATTTAGCCCACGACGAGCCCTATACTTTGGGAGTTTTAACAGATTCGATTTTGGTTTGCAGCTTGGAGCCTGGCAAAGCGATCCAGGCCCTCATTGATATGCCTAAAGTAAGGTTGTTAGTTAGGGCTAAATGCGGTATAATTTTTGCTGCTTCTTTGTGTCAAATTTGGTGCCTGGTTGCAGTGGATTATGCGAAACAAGAGGAGATTCTGCTCGATGCTATGGAATTTGAATTGGCACTCAAAATAATTGTAGGAGCTTGTTTGGTTTTATGGAAATTTTAATTAGTTTATTTCAGCAAATTTCTGATGAATGTGAAGAGGAAAAACAAGCAAAAGTCAATTACATTCGTTCGTTGTTAGCTTACCAACTGTTTGTCAAAAAGCAATTTGCTGAAAGCATGAGGGAATTTTTGAAATCAGGCACTGATCCTTACGACGTCATAGGGTAACGATCCTCTCATACTTCAACCCTCCTACTTCATATTTCTTTTCCAGATTATATCCAGACATGTTACCTCAGAATGCACAAGACGAAATTCCAATTAACTTCAAAAAACTAACCGAACAAGAGTTGCAAGACAGCATTTTGGCCCTGTGTGATTACTTAACAACCATCAGAAACGAAGTAAGAGTAGGTTTTTTTTTGCAACCTTTAATGCCTTTTTCTTATAGTCTGGAAATGCAAACGAACTTATGCGAACAATTGACACTATTTTGGTTAAATGCTATCTACAAACCAAAGACGCAATGGTAGGGCTAATTTTGCGACAAAACAATTGCGATTTTGTTGAAATTGAAAAGCTTTTAAAGAAAATGCAACGGTTTGATGATCTTCTGACTTTGTATGAAACTAAAGGGCACCACAAGAAGGCCTTAGAATTGCTTCAATTAGAGACAACATTAAAGGAGGATAACTTGGCAAAAACCATAGATTATTTGCAACAATTGGGTCCTGATAATATCGAAATTATTTTTGAGTTTTCTGAATGGGTGTTGATTTTAGAGCCTGAAAGGGGTATTGAAATTTTTACAGCTGATTTAATTGAAGTGGAACATCTCCCAAGACCTGTCGTACTGGATTTTCTATTGAAGGAACATCCGAATTTGGTCATTCAATACCTAGAACATGTTATTGATAATTGGGAAGAACAAAGCCCTTCATTCCACAATACATTAATCAATCAGTACTTGGAAAAAATCAGTGCACAAGGCAATCGTGACAAATTATTAAAGTTTTTGGATAGAAGCACTCAATATAATACTGAGGAAATACTTAAAAATTTTCCTGACAATTTACTTGAAGAAAAAGCTCTAATCTTGGGAAGATTAGGTTTACACGATCAGGCTATTGCTCTATATGTTAGAGTTTTAGGTGATGTCGAACTGGCTGAGACTTATTGCAATCGAAAATATCGAAAAGAAGATATTGAAAGTCAAAATGTAAGTAAACTTTTGCAGCCAAGCCTTAAATGACACATAACTTTCTCAGGTTTATGTATATTTGATCAAGTTGCTCCTAAATCCAGACAATCACAAATTAGGAGTCACCCTTTCGCCTAAAACTGCGAAACCCGATATGGAAAGGGCTTTAAGAATTTTGAAAGATAATGCTGCCAAGATTGATCCTCTTGAAATATTGCCCGAATTACCAAATGATGTTTCAGTTTCGGAGATTCATACATTTTTAACGGTTGCCTGGCAAAAAGTATTGAGAGAGAGACGAGAAGTAAGTAGATAAATTAATATATTTGTTAGTTTTTGTCTACAAGCGAATACCGGACTAGAATTATCGTAATTTCAATGCAATTGTAGAAAAAGTATACTGTAAAACTTGTTATACAGTGTAGGTATTATTTTAGGGTGAATTAATGCGCGGGCTTCTATACGCCCAATTTTTGCAAAGTAAAGAACGCAGAATGAATTTGTTGAACAAGCACGTGCTCATTACAGAATTGAGCGTTTGTCCGGCTTGTAAAAAGCGATTCTCCAACCAAACGTAAGAATTCAATTATCAGTTGATATTTTTTTTAATGAAAATTTATTGTTTTAGTGCCTTAGTTAGGTATCCCAATGGCGATGTTGTCCATTTCGCTTGCTTCACCGAAAGATAATTATTTTAGACAAGGAGAAAATAATTAATAAAAAAATAAATAAATGTAATCATATTATAATTTAATACATTCATAAAAGCCTAACGATTATATCTCGAGCAAAATATATATCTTATTCCATAAAGCTGTAATCAATAATTATTACCCTCTATCACTTTCTCTTCTTTTTCTTGTCTGTAGCCACAGGTGCACCAGCAATATCAGCCTTCCTTTTCTGTCCTGATTTTTGCGGCAAATGAGCAGGATTACCTGAAAATCAAACGATGAAATCCAAGGAAAAAATACAAACTCATCCTTACCAGTCAATTGTCCAGCCTTAGGCGCCTTTTTCTTCCTTTCATTCTTTTCCTTTTCCTCCAATTCAGCATTCTCCCTCTCGATCAGAGTAATCAGAGTATTGCAACGTCTCTGCAACTCCATTGCGGTTCTAGACTTGAGGAACCAATCAAATCTGAATTGAGGCGAAGCCCTTACTGCGGCCTTAAGTTCTTCATAAACATTTTCCCTTTCAAAGCCCAATTTGTGCAACATGCAAACTAAAAATCTGTCTTCTTCTTCCATGTAGTTTTTGCCTTTATTGTTTCCATAAGCCAGACGCAGTTGATGGAAAGGGGCTCTATACCTGGCCATTTTCGCATCTAATGCCCGTTTAATACTAGCTCTGCGTTCAATTTTCGTTTCTCCTCGTTCAATTTGAGCCATAATTCTATCAACATCTTGCAGCTCGTGGCAACGTTCCCAAAATACTGCTGAATATTCCATGACTTCCTCAGGAGTTTTGCCTTCGACGTCTTTAGCAATATTTTCAATGTCATCTCTGCCGTATTTTTCATTAGCTTTAATAAACTGATTGAAATCTCTTTTGCTCCAATTAGTAAATCCTTGCGTTAGTAATTGCTCTTTCTCTTGTTGTTCTTCTTCTGTCAGCACATCTGATTCGTCGATTTTCTTTTGTTCCTCGCGTTGTATTTTATTAGCTTCCGGTCCTAGTTCTGGGTTTTTTGGTACTTTGTAGCCTAAAGTTTTGCGGTAATAGTAAATTTCCTGGTCCAATAATTCGAACAAACGTGGCGGGAAAAATTGAAAGTCTTGCACCATTGGTTGTTTAGGTGGTCGTGGTGCTTTTGGTGCCTTAGGCTCTGACACTCTGAGTGCTTCCCTGAAATAGGCATCGACAGCATAATTGGCTTTTCTTTCTCGTTTTGGTGGTTCTATCCAATTACTAATACCATAGTTTTTTTGCTTTTCTCTGTAATCTTCTCCTTCAAATTTATAAACTGATTGAGTGGGAGCATCAACGGTGAAATTTCTCAAAGATGATTCCCCTAAACTCTCCATTTTCTGAGCCAGCTCTAGAGTTTTGGTTTCGCCTCTTTCTAAAATTACATCTATGTCCTCGTCTGTTATTTCAGAGTCTTTCGAAGCAAACACGTGATTGGCTCCGTGTCTGATCATGTTCAACATTTCGTCTTTGTTTAAAGTGGTTGCTTTTGAATCTGCCAATCTGCCTTGTTGGATTACAAGCTTATCTAGCCTCAGCTTAACTTCGGCACGTTCAACAATTTTTTCTTCTACAGTATTATCAGTTATAAACCGAAATACTCTGACTTGCTTTTTTTGACCAATCCTATGGGCCCTGTCCATGGCTTGCAAATCCATTTGTGGATTCCAGTCGGAATCGTAAATAATAACCACATCAGCTGTGGCCAGATTAATACCCAAACCTCCAGCTCTCGTGGACAACATAAAAACAAACTTTTTGCTTCCTTCTTCATTGTATTCGTTGATTTGTCTTTGACGGTCTTCGTGTGGTGTTTGTCCATCCAGTCTGCAATAAGGGTACATCTTCCAGTGGCAATAATCTTCGAGAATGTCCAGCATTCGAGTCATTTGTGAAAATATTAATACCCTACTGCCTTGTTCTTGCAATTTGGGCAATAATTTGTCTAAAATTACCATTTTGCCACAATTAAACACAAGATGTTCATCTGTGGTGTAGGGTGGGCCTGGCTCAGCTCCGTCAAACAAATAAGGATGGTTTGTGCATTTTCTGAGCTGCATAAGGATGTTTTGTAGGCGCATTTTCTCAACTTTTCCTGCCCCATTAACGATATCGATGTCTTTCAGCAACACTTTTGTGTACCACTCTCTTTGCATTTTACTCAATCCTACGTAAACTTTCAGTTCCTTTTTAGGCTTCAATTTTTTTTCTACTTCAGATTTGAGCCGTCTCAACAAAAACGGCTTCAATACCGCGTGTAATCTTTCAACTAGACTATTATCACCCAAACACTGGTTGGTATTGAACCAGGCATCAAAATCATCAGAAGAGTTGAAAACATCAGGCAGTAAGAAGTTCAACAAGGCCCAAAGCTCGTGCAAATTGTTTTGCAACGGAGTTCCGGTCAATAACAATCTGTTGGACGTTTTAAACTCCCTAAGAATTTCCGATAGTTTGGATTTTTCGTTTTTGATTCTGTGAGCTTCATCTATGACCATGTAGCGCCAATTGAATTTTTTGAAGACAGATTTTTCTTTGATGCACATTTCATAGGAGGTGACGCACACGTCCCATTCACCTGGCATTAGAACGTCTCTAATTAGAGCATTCTGGAATTTTTATTGGGAAATCAATTAATAATGGTGAGTTAAAAGGGGGACCACCAGATTACTGACCTGCAATGGAGATTGAATAATAGGAAAATGTGGAGAAGACAGGGTCAATGGAAACGGAGGCAGGCTAATGGACATATGCACTCAAAATTAGTCTATTCTTTTGTAAGAGAGAACTTAGATGATTTGGGGCAGAGAAGACTTGGTTACTTGAATAGAGCCATGCAATAAAACTAATAATTGCGATTAATCGAAAAAAGGGTTTTTGTGAAAATATGCAACATCTTTTTCCATCTTTTTCCTCAACATTAGGTCAATGAGATCCAGAGAGAATCATCTTGGAAATATCTAAATTGTAACCTTGACCAGAATAAAAATACCTAACTAAAACATTGTAAACATCATAGAGAAGCTTTATCAATAGACAAAATACCATCCCAATCAATACAGTTGAAACAATCAAGACATCATAAACAGGATATAGGACAGTTTCTTGGTTCAGTAATCTTGTGGTCGAGCTTGTGGTCATCTGATACAGTATCACTTACCCTTTCTGCTTGGTCACCAATAAGACAAACAGCCCTTATTGATGGACACCATTTGCTAAACTCATTCATCCAATTCGAAAGGGTAGACTTAGGTACAATAACTATATGTGGCCCTGCTGTATTTTTGTAATGTTTCATGAAGCCTAGCAATGAAATGGTCTGCAAAGTTTTACCCAGCCCCATCTCATCGGCCAGAATACCATTGATGCCATTTTCGTACAAAGAAATCATCCAGTTTAGGCCTCTTATTTGATAGTCCCTCATTTCTCCGCCTTTAATGTAAGGCGGCGACACTTCAAACCTGATCAGGGCTTTGGTTTTTGCATTGGTTTCGGCCAAGAGTTCTTCGTCCTCTTCCTGTTCAGTTTTTCGGTGTCTGTGATCGGCTATTTCTTCTTTAGTTTTTTTGGGTCTGCCTGCGGTTTTGGCTTTCGGGGGCGATTTGGTTTGGTTCATGAAATGAGAGAAAATTTCAGTTTGTTCCAGTAGATAATCGAATCGTTTGCCGCGATCGGTTTCCAATTTGGTGTCGAAATCTTCGTTTTTAGAGGCGGCATCTGACGAGGATTCATTGTCGTTGGTCTGTGAGAAAAAAATTGTAAATTTCTCTCTATTTTAAAATTAGAAAAATATCAGCACTGTGTGCTAGAGGCTGAGGATTCGAATGGCAAATTTTAGCTCAGAGCTGAATATTTTCGATTTTCATCGAGCAGACAATTAAATGCGAGGGGTCATTCACAACAAGAGCAATAGCAAGACATATCCAACACTCTTCAGGGAAATTTTAGGAGGTTTGGGGAAATCTGGGAAGTAGGGTTGGAAAGAACCCGAATCGAAAATTTCTATTGGGTTTTTGTGTTTATGAGGGATTTTGTGTTTACCCAACTTGACAAAATTTTATATTTATTTATTAATTTATAAGCACAATTTTTTTTTAGTAATGTTACTACTAGTAGTTATCCCGAGAAAAGTTCCTTCTTATTTTCACTTGTATCTAAGAATAATTGTTTGATTAATATTCTCGATTTTGAAAGGACCATTATATACTTAATACTTAAATTAGCGATGATTTCATAGAATATTTCTACTACAGTATCAACACTACCATCGGTCCTGCCAAATAGTTCCTCGCTACATGATCGTTTTTTATTGGTAACAATATGTCCACTGCAGGTATCACTTCTAACATAAGGTCGAAAAACCTATTCCTAATATTTGGATGCTGAATCTTTTGAAACAAGTTTAAAAACAGTTTAAACACAAATTATATTTGCGTTTGACAAATCTGGGCAATTGACACAAACGCCGTTATTGCCGTTGAAACAGGTAACTTCAAGAAGATCTTAATCACCTAGAAGAACCATTTGTGAGTCGCTGGAAATCTTTCACAAATATTAACGACCATTTGACAATGAGTGATTTAATTTTCTATAGGAGAATTAGGAGGAAGATACACCATTCCAATTGTATTATTGTGGACTTTAATTATTTTTGATAAGATTCACCCAAATGTCATTGTTCCACACCCCCATTTTTTACTGCTTATAATAGACCTATCTATTTTTACCTGTATGCACGCGCAACACGAGGCAATGCATTTTTATTGGCTAACTAGTACAGGTGTAAAGTAATCCTTTTGTACGCTGTGCATCTCCTTGTCCTTGTTCATTGCCCATGGTCTGACAAGCATAAAATTATGCTTGATATTCAACTTGACGTACAGCTTGACAAGTGATCGATTTTCAATTGTTTGAGTTTTTGATTGACAAATACGTTGCTTGTCACGCGGTTTTCCTCCTTCCTTTTTTATCCCATGCAAATAATAAGAACAGATTGCTATGCGTAAGTCTAACATAATTTTGTACGTTTTGCCTCGTCTTGCGCAATAAGCGTTTTGCGTCTTTTTCTAATAAAGTTTTCGTATTATTACCTCTTTGTCTGGTAAAATAGATAGGTCTATTGAATTTCTATCACATCTGTAGGTGTTATAGTTCAGAAACTTAATTTTCTCTTCTCAGTATTTATCTGACCATGATTCGGATAACAATATCATTGTTGCATTGCTTTATTGCTAGTTCAGGTTCCTAAACCACCCACATTGCGATAATATACTTGTAATGGGGAAGTTTCCTATGTACAATTTGTGTTGTTCTAGTTTTTTTTGTTAGTGATAATCTTGTGTCCACCCTGTATGTATCTAATGACAAGGTCGTTCTCACCACTAGCTTTACGTGTCTCTAGTTTCTTCTGCAGATCCTTTAAATAGTTCAGCTGGAATGGAAGTAAGGTAAACGCACTAGTACTTGACATAGTCTTAGTAGTTGACATTCTCAATTTTAATCATTCAAAATAGGAAATTAAATTTGTTTTCTAATATTATGTGAACACCGGGACTAACAAGCGACATCTGCGAGGCGACTACTGTCTAATTTTGGAATCATTCTAGTTCATAAGCGCAGTTTGGTGCCATTTTTGTGTTTCTATGATAGCATTAAAATTTACAATCATCTTCCTTCATTTTTAAAGCAAATCTCTGACCTCTCAAAGTTCAGAAAAACAGTTAAAGATGCACTGCTGTTGCAGGCATTTTATTCAACTGATGAGTACTTTAATGTGTCCTTATAAAAAAAAAAAAAAAAAAACACCTAAGTAGGTAGCCCTTTTCATTATGATTCTCTTTTTTACTTAACTAGACCTATTCTGATCAGTTGCTTTTGTACTTTTCTTTGCTGCCTTCAAAATTCCTAATTTAGGTACCTACACCAAATTTTTAGAATTACTCTGTTTGTGTCGATATTTTTGTAGTATTTAATGTCTGTTGTAGTGCGTTCTTTATTTTATTTTTTTATGGCTCTGTTCATTGCTTATTTTTGTGATAATAATGTTAATTGTTCCTAACGTTGAAATGGCCAAAACATTTACAATCTCACACTACCACATAGTAATATTGGATAATGCTTTTGTTGTAATAACTTGTTTCATGTACCTTACTTTCAATGTTTCGGTTAACTTACCAAGCTTTCTTTATTTATAGATCAACCCATGCACTTATTTTTAAGGATTTAGAATTAAGTTATAGCTTTGTCAATAAGTTTATTTTAACTTGGACAATAAAGCATGTTTTCTTTCTTTCTTTCTTTTTATCTAGATCGTCTGTAGTGAATTTACTTAATATAAGTGTTAAGAAGGCAAGTTTATAAAAAAAATTATTTTTAAATTAAACCTTGTATGATTGTGATTAAAGTTGTACCATTTTGACGTGCAGATATAGGAGAAATGAATGTTCTATAAAAAAAAGTGATTTTAACTTCTAAAGGAGGAATGAGCCTGGTGTCAAGCACTACAACAAGAAACCTAAGTTTTCTAGTAATTGACATTGATGTCAACTAGTAGTGTTAAGCATAGACTTTTGATTTCAATACTTTTTCTACTGCATTTTTTCATTATTTTGTAAAAAAAGTCCTCTATCGATAGTATTGCTCTAGGTTGACTCGATCTAGTAGTTGACACTAATGTCATTTACTAGGATTTTAGGATGTCATCTACTAAAACATGAAATTTTATATTAAGTATGCCGCCTGTAAAGGGACAAATGTTCAGGTATTGTGGAGATAGAGGTGGAGATGATATGGAGAAAGAGATTGAAGAAGTTTCACAGGGACAAGCAGTGTCTACAACAGTTAAAAAATCCAATATTCCCAAAGTGACCTTATTGTATACATCAAGAGGCACGACACTACGAAAAAGAAAAATGGGTCCCCAACCGTACATTTTGCCAGAACAAGAAAAAATGCTTGTAAAATGGATCAGAGATACATACAGCCCCACCAACTTATGACCAGTGTTCAGGTATGGTATCAAATCTTAAGTTTTAATCACAACGAACAAATTAAAGCTCACTTGCTTTTAGGTGCTCATGACTGAATTAAAACCATTCAAAAATAACAAACCGGGAAGAACATGGGATGGAAAAAACTGAAGAGAGGCAGAAGAAAAAACAAGAGAATGATATTTTGAGCAACGCAGAAAACAGAAGACTATTGAGAAGGAACGAAAGCCATCTACGAGGTTACAAAAATATTCCTCCTCAAGTAGTGATGATGATTCATGGCTCGAGTCATGAGTTGAATCTGGGAGTAGTATGGATGACGTATCGGGTCTTCAAAAAAAAAAACCAATCAAAGATTGCTATGGTTTTTTAAACGTATGTCTTAACTATATTTTTCTTTAATTTTGTCAATGAACTTTACTGTCAAAATATAATGTCAAAAATCCTGACGAATAAAGAAACAGGAATTCGACGTACGTTTTTGAAATCAAAGCAATCTTCGATTGTTTTTTTTTTTGAAGACCCGATATCTTCTGAAGAAGAGAATATTGAAGAGCTTGATGAGGGAATAGTGAATGGTTATAAAGAAAGTGAATATATAGTAGCCAAATTCCCCGGCAGTGTTAAGAATTATAAATATGTATGCAATGTACAAAAAGTTTTTGAAAATAGTGAAGCTGAAGTTCTTGCTATGAATTGTTGTGACGAAGATAAAACTATATTCAAACCAAACGAGAAAGATATACTTAAGTTTCATAAAATTCAACCAAATATTGAGGAAATTGCCAAACTCCAAAATAATTCTTGCTGAAGAGAGACTTAAAATTTCTGACACCCATTGAAGTTGATGGTTGAAAATAATAATCCCTCTTGTCATGTTTATATTTAGTTTTTGTATGTTGTGAATTAAAATTTACTTAAGTACTTAATTTTTTTTTTTTTTATTTGTCAAACACATTGTGTTTATTACATTACAATCTAGTCAGTAAGACTAATTAGCATGTGCTTTCCAGCGCAATTTCGCATCAAGCATCATACCAAGATATTTAGCTTGATTTGAATATGGTATAGGGGTGTCATTAATTGTGATACTTAATGAGCATAAAAAATCGTTTCATTCCCATGTCAACTACTAATACCTGTGCTAATACCTATTATATGTCAACTACTAGATTTTTCAATTTTTTGAGTGTCAACTACTGACAAATTTTAAACAATTTTTAAAAATTCCTTAAACAAAAACTGTATTTCCATTTTTTAAAATATTTAATTTTATCTTATTCACAAGGAAATAAAGTACAAAACTATACTAAATTATCTAAGAAAAATTGAAAATTCGATACAAAAGCAAAAAAAAACCTTTATTTACGACTGACATATAATGTAAGTATTATATTTGTGATTTTGGCAGTTTGATGACATCTATTATTCCCGCAGGGATTAATGGTCATTAATCCCGCTTGCACACCAATCACAAAATTTTTCGAATTAAATAAGTAGGTAGTACCATGGAAACAATATAGAACAAATTCAGTGTCAGTGTTAAACACGTAGTGCTTGTGTATTTGTATTGAGATGGATGAACAAAAAGCGTTTTTGGAAAGAAAATTTCAAATAAATTAATTTGTTGTAAATAAAGTCGAGTATACTACTCGCAATAATGGCTATTATTCCCTCGCCGCTAACGCGGCTCAGTTCGTAAATATTCCTCGGGAATAATAGCTATCAATATTGACTCGTGGTATAATCTACTATTTTTCCCGACACTATAATATCAACTACTAGTGCGTTTACCTTAATCTAGGTATATGACAACCAGTTCAATGCTACACCAGTCATAAAACTCCAGTTTGCCTTATTTTTTCCACCCTTATCAACAAGAATTACAAGGGTTTTTTTAGGATCTTCACCATACACCATCAAGAAATAAATCGTTAATGATAATGCATAGGATCATCTACTTGGTTTTCCACTCAAATAAAAATACTATACCTGTTTACCTCATGTTGTACTTGTAATAAATGTAGCGAAATGTAGCTTTTATATTGTCAGGAAAGTGATAGATGAGAAGAGAAAATGCACTAGTTGTGTTAAGAAGAGAAGAACCTGGGAGTTGTGTTCTGGCTGTGCAAGATCTAGCGAAATCAGGAGATTTGAGAAAATCTGAAAAAATCTTAGAGGGATCCCAGGAAATCTGTAGTGTAGATATCTATCTTTTGCATGAAGATATCTCTTGTACACCTAAATATGTTGTGACTAACCCCTCGATTAAATGTAATCCTTATAAACAAAGCCCCAACAATCTAGGCAAAGGCCGAAACCGAAATTCATAATAAAATATAATTATTTCAGTGTTATTTACCGCGCTTCCTCCAGCTTCAGTGGCATCTGTATTTTCTTCTGTCTGCGACATTTCGCTTGCAGAAATTGAAATAGAAACAAACACTAATTTAAATTGTTTTGTTTGGAACACAATACAAAACAAGAATCTAGAATTTCTAGAACATCAAACAAAACCTTCAAAATCGATTTTAGGAAATTTATTTTTCTAATCAGCTGTTTTGATTTTTAGTGTGCGCAGAGTGTATTTCGATTTCTTTCTCTCAACTTGTTGAAGAGAGATACAATTTCTTTGCACTAATTCTACCAACCGAAAACGCCTTTTGTCGAATCGACGGTGTGACGTTACGATATCCGTTTTTATACCGTTTCGCTCTGTGGAGTGAGTGCAAAGCCGAACTGTTCTTTCGTAACCTCCAGTTCTTTTTCATGTCGATATGAGTAATAGGGAATTTTCATAAGAAATAAATATGGCTTATTTTGTTTTTATGGTGCACATTTTTGTGTAAAATATTGAATATGAGCAGTTTTGTATTAAATTTATGGACATTATAGTCATATGGCAATTATTAGTTTTAAATTGAAAAGTTTCGCGCGAAAAAGTTACGTTTAACATGGCTTCCAGTGACGTCAACTGTTCGTAATTTAAGGTTAAGGGTAGTTTACACTGATCGAAAATCCACGGTCCACACTTTCGTGGTTCACTCTTGAATCGTGGAACGATTGGTCCAGGATCAGCTCACGTCACGCACCGACTGATATTGAACCACCATAAACGGGTCTATAGAGGAAAGATTGTCAGACTGCACTTTTGTAAATCCTGTATCAACCATGATGAACTATTTGAAACACAAAATGTCACAATATGGCACTAAATATGGAAATACCGCATAAATAACCGCTTTAAAGTTTCAATAATGCAGTCGAAGGTTCAAGCTAAGCGATTCTTTCCGACAGTTTGCAAAGTATCAAAGGCTCTTGTGAGAACAGACCTTAACGTTGTGTTTACAGACAGTTGACGTCACAAATGCCACCATCTTGAAGCTAATCGTTTTCGCGCCAACGAAAATAATTTGAAATTCAAAATAATTTTTTTTATTTCAATGAGGACATAAAACAAAAATAGCTATTTATACAATAAGTTACAAAATGAGCGTCTTTTAGGCACGCGACGTGAAAATTGTCCAACGAGGCAAAGCCGAGTTGGACAACACGTCGAGTGACTAAAAGACATCGTTTCGTAACGTATTGTATACAAGATTTTTTCTACTGGCATTTTATAATAGAAAAACACAATTTTATTTCATGTGAATAAGTCGATTACACCCAAAATCTTTGTTACCTGCTTTTACTTGACACCTGACACTTTTCATGCGATTTTCTTTTCAAAATTCGACATCAATAATTAAAATCCTAGAAAGTAGGTAATAACACAAACTTCTGTTTTGAGTAACCCAAACGTTCAATTCAGTAATTCCATTTTCAATATTCATAATAAATACAAAACAAAATTCAAATATGTGTTCAGTGTGTTTTTTATTTCTGAATAATGAATGACACTTTTAGGCACTAGTGCTTAAAAATTACTTTTACGCACTCATAAGTCACTTTTACGCATTCAAAAGTCACTTTTACGCACTGAGTGCCTAAAAGTAACTTTTACGCACTCAGTGCCTAAAAGAATGTCGTTTCAAAACTGAAATGACAATCGAAAAGTTGCTATTATGAAACGTCAGTAGAAAAAAAAACATATATATTTTATATTTGAAAACATAAGCAATAAGAAAAAAAATACTTTGAAAAATATGATTGTTCTCTATTTTGTTACGATATTTGTCATTGCGCGCGCAAATGCTTCAAGCGTGTGTTCATGTTCCAGCCGTACTGCGCGTCGAGAGCTGCAAACTTTTGCGTTTCAAACACAGAACACTGTACTGCTTGAAGCACACAAGGCTGGGTACGGCACGGAGTAGGAGCAGATTTTTGTCAGGTGATCTAGGAGTGATTAGAGTGAAAAATTAATACGGAAGGGCCGGAACGGTCGGAGCAAAAATGTCGAACAGCTGATTTATTTTTTTTGAAAACAATAGTCAACCGTGACTTCACAACGTTCCAGTTTCCAAATTTTTTTTCACTTTTAATCTGTGGTCTTTCGTTTACTATAGCTGGGTTCGGCTATTCAGCGCGGAGTTGGAGTGGAGTGAACAGAGCTAATGGAGTCACCCCTTAATGTTAAAAGGAGAAGAGTGAAGTCAAAAGTGGAAAGGATAGTAATAATTTTCGTTGCTGTGAATGACGTCATACTGAAAAAATACATAAATCTACGCTTTCGTAAGTATTCGGTGCATTCGCTATGGCTTCTTTGGTTGCAAAATAAAAAAAATTAACAGAGTGATGTGACAGGTGCTGTGTTACCTAAAACTCCAGTAGAGGCAAATGGGGTCGTTAATTTAATGAAACTTGTTCGACTATCACTTTTACAATCACCAAAGACACATCGCTTCATCGCCTCTCGATAAAACATATCACGTTCTCCCAAAACTGCCATAATTATTAAATTTAAGCCCAAAATTGAAAAAAAATTAATAACGACAATGCTATTTATAGGTTATGTGACTTTGTTTGTCGTCATTCATAATGAAATCTTCTATTGATATCTTGAAAACTGTTGGGTATTGAACATTAGCGCAATGATCACTTTTGTTAAGGACGACTGCCTCTACACAATATCAAAAATTCAGCAAAATTCCACATAGATCACTTTTCCATAAGAAATGTGCGGGGTCCTTTAACTTCAATGGACCTATTTATTTGCCCGAACGGCTGAAGTGCGAATGGAGTCACTCGGAGTGCACGGAGTGAGCAAGCCGAACTCAACTGGAATAGGGCGAGTGGGGCATATTAGTATTAGTTGAATTCCTTTCATAAGTTTGAAACACTCGAGCTACTCGCTCCAGTGTTAGTCGCCCCCAATTTGCAAGAAACAGGTGGTAAAATTATTAAAACAGCAATTTCCTATGCTGAAGATTTGAATGAAATTGCAAGCCTTTGGAAATGAACATAACTTTAGACAAAGGATTTAATTAAAATTTATTAGGAGAGATTCATAGAAAAGCTTTTGTTTGAATCATTCCAATATAGCTGGGTTCGGCTATTCAACGCGGAGTTGGAGTGGAGTGAACAGAGCTAATGGAGTCACCCCTAATACGGTAAAAAGCAATACCCGAACGGCTGGAGTGCGAATGGAGTCCCTTGGAGTGCACGGAGTGAGGAGTCCCTCGGAGTGCACGGATAAGGGATGAAACACTCCGCCGGCCGCCTTCGGCGTCGTGTTCCAAACTTCCCTTTACACAAAAAAAAAATCTCACTTTTAGCACTTATATCATAAAACAAATTATTTACCTTGCGTTCGGTATTTTGCTCAAAGTGTAGAGCGAGCTGAGCGGAGCCGTAATCACGTGACCAGCGAGCGAAGGGAGCAGTTGAACGCTGTATAAAAGTACCGGAAATTTTAATAAACGAACGCGAATGAGGCTGCACCGAGTACACTTTTTAAATAAACGAACGGTAAAGTCAAGCTCGGAGAACTCAGACCAAAATAACGAACGCACGGTTAATATACAGCAACTAGAAAAATGAGTGCTAAAAAAGTTCACTGTCTCCTGGACTGGACTATTAAAAAAGTCAAATTCCTGAAATTTTCCCATGTGTCAACCAAACTTGTAAACAAATGTCAAGAACCGTGTTTCCGTTTTTTGCGGTAAACATCAAATAATCCCCAATACATCGACCCTAAAATTTTGTAACTCATGTACACGCCAAACTTCCTGAGCGGCTTCATAACACCAAGTCGGACAATATTTTTCATATCTCCACCCTGGGCGATGGAACATTGCCGCACTAACTCTTCGGGAAGTTGTCGTTCTGACGGCCCTAATAAGGAAGTTGATACATGTACAAGGTATTGCCCAAATTCGAGCCTCATCATTGGGATCTCGGTAACCGTAAGAGATACGGGGTACGGGGTCGGTTAAATTATGGCAAAGTTGCGCAATTTTATGACCAATAGAATGCCGTTTTGAAACTAGAAAGATTCCGAATACTTCCGGAGGTATTCGGAAAAAACCGAAATTTTCTAAAATTATTTTTATTTTTTCCCGGGCTTATTTGAAAAGCAATTTTAAAATAAATGTCACTTCATCATTGTCACTTTTTCCCCTTTAGAAGATGGTGCTACTAAATTTAAATTTCGACGTTTCGTCTTCAGGCGGCCATCCTCAACTTCCTTTTTTTAAATACGGACCTGGATTTTTTATTTGCGATTTTGTCATCTTTGGACATCCTAAAACCGATACTGCTAATAATTTTTCAATAACACAGTTTAAAAAGCAGGTCCGTATTTAAAAAAAATGAATTGATGATGACTAGCAGAAACAGGTATAGCAGTATGTGCTCATAAGGCGGGTGACACACTGGAGGTTACATGAAACTTGTTGAAAGAAACAGGAAATTTGTTTCATTATCACACGACCAGGACACAAACATTCAAATAAGGCGGCGCGGCGCACACTGGCGAAACAATTTCTGCTCTCCTGTTCCAGAAACATCATTGTGCTCCGCCTCATTTGAATGTATGTGTCGTGTGGTAATGAAACAAATTTCCTGTTTCTTTCAACAAGTTTCATTCAGTAACCTCCAGTGTGTCACCCGCCTTATGAGCACATACTGCTATACCTGTTTCTGCTAGTCGCTAGAGGTCGTGCGACCGGGTGGCGGGCGGCCAAAAACCACTTATTTTATATTATGAATATTTTTGGCACAAAATAACGTTTTGGGCGTGGCACCAGAATCAGAACAGGATTTTTTCGCCTCCGCCGGCGCATGCGTGCATGCGTGTATGTATTTTTTTATGTTGATATCCTAATCGATAGGTATTCTGTATCAGGTTTTATTATTTACAATCATTAATAAAACTATAAAACATGTTTTTAATAGTTATTTTTGTATCTTTTTATTATTATTATATGGCATTTATTGGCATTTAGTACAATATAGATTTTACAATCATTTTATAATTTGTCAATAAATACAGAATTTCTCTCCCACAAGAGAAACCTCGCGCGTGGGGAAAAATATTACTATAATACATCTACTTTAAAAATAATTCTATGCTACATTACCTAATCTAAAAATGT